GAATTACCTATTTAAAAATTTTATTTTTAAGTACATGTAATTACCCAACTCTGGTAGACAGAAACATAACGCCCAGTCCTACATTAAAAACGTATTACAACCTGTTGTGTTGCCATACCTTCAGCAACTGCAAAAGCACATTTCAGCAAGACAACGACGGACAATATACCGCTGCAGTTATAAGAGTTATAGAGTTAATATGGGCAAACGTAAAATCAGAATTACGAAAATGTAATCAGTCTCCAGAACTGAGTAAAGAGGTTGTAGAACTCGTAAATAAAGTTCTAGCACCAGACCGCCAAGAGCTTTGGAAAAAAACTGCGTCGAACATGTTATTAAAGAAGAAGATGAGTATGTAGTATTACCCTCTTTACAACCCATCATAATTCAACCAAATGATGACTCTAGTTCAAAGGATTCAGACTGCCATGATTATTTATAAAGATACTTTGTTTTCCAGAAAAAAAAAACGAATGGGGTACAAAAAGGGCTCAGTTCACGTCTGGTACCCTGTTTAAACCAAACGCCCTTACAGGCAGGTACACTTTACTCGCTTTTTTACGTTTTATAATTTAATATTCAGTTGTAGCAAGTTAACGAGCTATAATGATTTTTTTTAAGTCCAAGTAATACTACAATTAAGTGCATCTGTCTAAATCAAGGCGTATAATAACGTCCAATTTATAATGATTCGATTTCCTTTTAACGAATACTTTCTTGCATATGATATATATTAAAAGTATTTATAAAATAAATTTATAAAATGAGGTAGGTATCTACGCCTATGGCAGATCAAACAAAATTGTCGGTAAAGGTTCCGAACGAGTTTTTATGTTCTGCAATTGATAATGGAAGAACTATACCAGATACTTTCTCCGATAAGCTAATGTAACCGCTCTTACATGGCCCGCAAGGTCACCTGACTCATTACCCATTGGACATGGGATATGATAGGTAGAAGACTTGGATGTAGACCGACTACGTAGCGAGGTTAGATTAGCCTGGGGAATATAACTCAGGCATATATCGATCATCTGATTCGTAGCATACCACTAACAGTTGCAGAGTGTCAAAACTTACGTGGGGGTGCAACAGGCTACTATTTTTTAAGAATACCTTTCAATAAATTTGTTTCATAATTTCAACGATTATTATTCCTATTTTTTATCCCAATAAATTCCCAAAATATTAATAAAATATATTCACATTTACTGGGTATTGCAATTTCAATGTCACACAGTTAGTTCAAAACCTTGCAACCGATCGTCCAGTAATGATAAAAAAGAGGTGATTAATGTTGTTACAAAAGGATACGAACTTTTGAAGAATGTAGCTAAACAAACTGCCAAAGATAAATTAACGAGACCGGATTCATTCGATGGTTTTCTTCTTACCATAAATGCCGTCAAAGCGCTTTATTCCTAAATAATTACGGAAACCCAACTAAAATATATATTAACAGGAAGGCCAGCCAGGATCCATTAGAAAACCAATTTTCTGTCTATAGGCAGAAAGGGGGTTATATTTAAAACCCTACTGTAAGGGATTTAAAAGCAGCTTTTAAGCTAAATATAGTTAATAATTTCATGAGGTCTCCAGTTAAAGCAAATTCGGGATCAGGACGAAGACAAAACTCTTCTGTAGTCTGGTAATGGTTTAAACGTTTTTATAATGCTGCGGATTCTAATAATGATAAAAGATAACAAATAATGAGGAATACACGGGTTCTGAAGTCGATATTTTATTAGAGAAGACTGTTCCTGTACCATTAGAAGACGGACATTTAATTTAAAACAACGTGTGGCACTCGGGGACTGCCGCGGTAAAGCTATTGCATAGCATTTTTTATCAACTTATGCAATTATAATTATTTATTTATTTTATTTATGCAGTATTTTTTTTTCTTTGATATTAATTCAAGTTTTTTCTCTGATATTAATTCAAGTTACACTTTTTGAGCGTGGTGACCGATAAGAAAACAAATTTTTTTCTTTTATTGAATAAATGAGAAGTTAATATTGTTTAAAATATTTTTATTATCTTACAATACATGTAGGTTATTCAGGAATTTTTATCATTGAAACTATAGGTTTATGGTAACTGAAATAAGAAACATAAGTTTGAGACTTGATATCCTCCAAATATCTGGAAAATACCGCGTCAATGGTGGTCCCATATTTTGTTGTGGATTCTTGTGGATCATTATTCATTTTTAAATTCAATTTTTCCGAAATTGTGTCTAAAAGAGATAGAATCAGTTATGAGCAGTTAGCAGCTAGTCTACACGCATATGTCTAGTCGCACGCACACAAACACCGTGCCGAAGTCTGCCGAACTGAAACGACGTTAGACGATGCACGGCTTTCAACGCCTCACCGCTGTGCCGGTGTCGGAGTGGGGGGTGTTAGGTTTATTTTCGTTACGGAATTTCTTTTTCGATTTTTCGAATTTTCGATTTTTCAGTTTTTCGATTTTTCGAGTTTTTGGTTTTTCGATTTTTCGGTTTTTCGATTTTCTTTTATTGAATAAATGAGAAGTTAATATTGTTTAACGCTGTGCCGGTTACGGAATTTCTTGATTCGGTCGCCGCGCTCAAAGCCCGCGATAAAAGCTATGCAATAGCTTAAAATGCGTAGAAAAATTTAAATGCGATAAGTATGCAGTATATCATAAACATTTTTATGATATACTGCAATGTTTACGGTTGTCAGGAGAGTCATAACTGAACTGTCATTATTTAAAGTCATATTCGAAAACTTGTAATGATGGTGTCAAATGATAAAATTTGATTTTAGGTTGTAAAACGTAGTAAATTGCAGTATAACATAAGTTATACGATACACGCCCGTTACCTGCATTGGGGTTCTCATATTTCAATACGGCACGTGTTGAGACCCCACAATGCGATTCTTATGTCATGTCTCTCTCTATTCAATTCGTTACGTGTTGAGTTCGCACATAAGAATCCCTGTCCTGATCTCTACGTGCTCAAATGTAAAGATCTAGGTAACGGGCTTATAACGTAAACTACTATTACTGATTTAAACACATTTAAGGGAAAATTAAATAAAGACTTTTACAAAAATTTTAAATACTACTGTTAAAGAAAAACGAATGAAAACCACACAAAAAACTTGTTAGGTACAAAATTAATATTTTTAAAAAATTGTAAAATACATTTTAAATCAAACTTAAAAATCACGGCCACAACAGTAGTATCGTTTCGGTATCGATCCTGCTATTCGGTAAAGTGTCAAATATTTGAAATAAGGACAAGTCCCTCTAACTTTGGCTGAAATTTTTGCTTTTTCATTCGTTACAAAATCACTGTATTTTGGCGCGGTAATTTTCTGAAGCGGTCGCGAAAGTAACGCGACATAATAGTAACCGGTATTCCCATTACTAGTCCGTTGTTCGGTCTTCCCTTTTTTATCCATCCCAGTTTTCTTTTCAATAACCTTATACATTACTAGGTTCATATCGTTTTTATATCCATATTTCCATCTCTCTACTTTTTAATTTTTTTTGTGTTGTCCCCTTCCTTATCTAAGTCATCACATTTCCAGATTTTTCCGTTCACTATTTTCCGAACCCCTATTTTAACTGTTTTTCCTCTTTTCTACTCTTGTTTTGTTCGGATTTTTATTTTCTTTTCATTTTTAGACATATCGTAGTCGATAAATATTTTTCATCTTTTAGCCTTGCATTTGTTGGTCATAACCATTTGCTTTTCGTTTATTTCCTATTTTTTTGGTATTTCTTATTTTTTTGTTTCCTTCTAGGTTTTTTCAACTCGCCTTCAGGGCACGAATTTATTTCTAGACCTTGTACCATAAGGTTATTTCTTCTTTTTTGAATGTCCATGACATTTTTTATCTGTTGTATGTCCAGTTTAAACCCTGTATTCTCTTACAGTTAAAGTTATACTGGAATACTAATAACCAGTTTGACATCAATTTGACAGACAACTTATAAGGTTTGTTCCAACATAAACCAAATTAGTTTGCGTACTGTCGGGATTCTGCGCAGTCTAGAATTTGTGTTCCAACAAACCTTAGACTCGAAACTGTACAAACACATAGTGTTCCAACACAACCAAAACTAATCACAAACCGATTTGTGTACTGTCAAATCAGTTCCTGGGTCTGAATAGGAACGAATTGTCAAGACATGCGCAAAGCCGCAATAAACTGAACATATCGTGATTGTAATTATATTATTTGTAACTATTGTCTCTGACAGTTCTGATTTGTATTTGTTAATCGAGTTTACTGTTTATAGTTTTTGTTCATGATCATTTATTTTATTTTGTGGTTTATTATTGTAATAATGCGTCTGTTGAATTTAAAGAATGTGTTCCAACATAATCGACTTCCGAGTTGAGTCCCAATCCCCGACCAGTACCTGACAAGTTGTCAATTACTAGTCATTGACAGATTGTCAACAATAAGTTTTGGACTGGTTTATGTATTGTTCCAAGATCGTTGTTGGAACAAACCTATACTTAACCAATATCTAAAGTTCTTAACCGTGCACTGACAAACCCGCCCTAAAAGATAAAAATCAAACTTCTTGCTATTACACATATCCACCATTAATGGTGGTGGAGATATCATGAGTTAAAGCGATGACTGCCGGTAAAAAATTGTTTGATTACCAGAATCTGGTGTGAAGGCGAATCAAAACATGCGAACTACTGTAAAATGCAAGGTGACAGCTAAACACGTTTAATATATTATATGTAAAGCCACGTCAATACTGTGAGGAGAGAGTCAATTAGAATCTCGAATCGACCAATTGAGAACAACCAGATGTACAAGTAACTTTAGTAAGTCTGGTAATATTATTTGTTGTTAGTTACATTAAGACAAAAAAAACTTATGATAATGCGAAAAAATGTATATCAAGTTAAATAATAGTTTTATCTGTTAACTTTTAGAGTATTAATAAAATAACTGTCAATTGAGAGTCAGTCATTGTTTTTGTAAATATATACGTACTATATGATCTAATCCTTCTTGTACAGTGTGATCACGGGAATATATCAGGTTTGCCTTCGTAGTTTGTACAGCCACTGGACTCTTTTTTGCAATATCTTCAGCCACATTTAGTGCACCTTCTATCAATCTAGAAGTAAATTCAAATTTTATAATTTTCAAAATAAAAATATTTTCATATTTCTTTTTCCTCAATAATTATCCTTTGTTAATAAATCAAAATAAATAAAGATATGTATTTCTTGTGTTATTTTAGTATATTTAAGATATGTATTTTATTTTCAGTTTTTTTTAAATATATTGTTGCGACGCGAATGGTTAAATTCTAGCAAGAGTTGCTATTAACTGGTTGTTTTGGGCGTTTTTGTTAAAAAAAAAGGCAAAAAGGTTAATTAAAATTAAATCATTAATTTTTAATTAATTAATTAATTTTTTTTAATGAAATTGAATTATTAAAAATATGTTTATTTCATAAAACCATCCATCATCCACAATAATTATGATTGTCTCAGGAATAGGTCCGACTCTGTGGTTGCAGAGATTCCTTTGTTTCAGGGCGATGTAATACGAGCCCGTCAATGGGCGCGTTCAGCCGACGACGTAACAGTTGAGTATGGTGACTTGTTGGGTCTTCTGAACGTCACTTGTTAAGTTTTGGTTAGTTTCAACCTTTGAATACATATAGTCAGGAAGGAGGAATCCTAAACGACCTTGGAATCGCGATGGTATCTAATTTTGACAGTGAACTAGACGAATATGGCGAGAAGTGTTTCCGGTCTACCAGTGACGTACTGTCATAAGGGTGCGTAGAAAAGATAATATTAAATTCTTATTTGCATATTATCTAAATTTATGGATTTATCTCATTTTAACAAATAGCTATTTTCTTGCGAGAAGTTTGCATTTTTTTTACGTCTTTATTATGACAATATTTTTATTAATTTAAATTTTACAAATTGAATAAATTTTACAAAAACAGTATGTCGTGTTTATTAAGGTTTGAAAATTAAATATGTTTTGTAGATGCGTTAAAAAATAGTACGTTTGTTCAACAAGAGTGGATATGATGGGAAGACGAAATTTGAGCACAACGCCGTAGGCATGTATTTGTAATTATATTATGTAAGCCTGAGTACATAAAAAACTTCCTAATATCGAAGAGAAGATCTGATCATTTTATTACATAATATTATTAGTAATATTTTTTGCAGGACTTAAATTGTGCATAAGTTGGTATAACACCTTTGTATGAAAGGATCCTATAAAGTAATAATTATTCTGTGAGTGCAAAATAGATTACTTTTAAATGTACATTCAAATTTGATCGCAGGAATTTAAATTTTGGTAAAAGGCAACGTATTATCTATATGCTTAGTCCAGTTAAGATGAGAGTCAATTTGGACTCCAAGGTATTTGATATTATTTGTAATACTTACATGAAACTGCTAAACGTTACGTTTAATTATGTTTCTATAGTTCCATCTATATATAAACGACAAATTATTTAAAATAAAATTAAACAACATAGGACCTAAGACAGTATCTTGAGGTATGCGATGTGCAACTAATATTTCCTTACAATATCATTAATTCTAACTATTTATGTTTATCATTGTAAATAACTTTGTAATAAATTATATGGAGTCTTTAACATTCATACAATAAAGTTCTAATATACGAAAGTGCATTTATTAAACCAAATCTGGATATACGGTACTGAGCTCTGCGGGTAGAGCAAGCAGCTGGGACATTGGACATTTTGCGGCTATTTTAGAGCAAAGTGCTTCGGACTGTAGTAAATGTATTTAGTACGTGTGAAATGAAATTATACAACGTTATCTGCAAACGTCATCTCTGCATCAAGAAATACAAAAAAACAGATTAGTTAAAGAAGAATTTCTTTTTATAATATTCAAAACAATACGTTGGGGCTTCATCATGTTACATATGAGGTATCTAATGGCAGAATTTAATTTTCTGCAATTACCCTGGACTGGTGAAACTATAATTTATCCTTGGACGGGAAATTATATTATATTTATAAATAAAAATTGAACAATAATTTATTCATTTTATTAACCACATAAATATCTTAAAATTGCCTAAAAGATTTGTTTAAATAGAATATGTATATATACGCTATAAACCATGAGACTACGCCTATGAGCACAGTTGATCGCATACATACTAACCATGTTTGTTTACACATTTAAAACATTAAAAATTTAAAAAAATCTTTGATGGGGTTGATAATTGAGAGACCAAAATACTTACTTACTTTTAGCTGTACTGCTGTATCCACAAGAGCAACAACTGACCATATTGTATTGTTTGTCTTTTAACGCGGAAAACTAAAAAAAAACACTAATACTGACTAAATACTAAAACACTAAACACTTTTTAAAAAGGTCTACAAAACATACGTTCAATAAATGTTTAAATTAACACATAGAATATCCAAATTATTAACAAATTTTAATCACTATAATTAGGAACCAATTTTAGAAACCATTTGTCATATGATGATGAGTCATCCATAGTACAACATGGCTACCACTTCCGTCAGATTGATTAGATTAAGGCAGACATGGCATGCTCCTTCCTGACTATATTTATTCAAAGGTTTCAACGGCTCAACATCGGCACCAAAAAAATTCTATGGTGACTTTTGTAAACGAAGTATTATACTCAGTGTTGCAAACTAAAGGAATTTTTGATTTAGAGATTTCTAGTGTTTTTTATCGATTTTTAACCCCTAGGGAGGATAAAGCATATATGTGATTATAACCTAACATTTCTTAACTTTGAACATGAATTTTGTTGTTTTTTAAATTCTAAAGTTAAACCATGATGAAAAATGTCCGTTATGACTGATTATGACTATATATTTTTACATGATCTTAATTTGTAACCGAAAATGATTTTATTTATATCACCACTAGAGGTCACCACGTGTATGTGTATTGTCTAACCGCTGAACCAACTTATACCGTTCAGGTACTTTTAATTGTTGACTTGACCATATCAGAAGGATGTTTTCGGTTTTAGGGCCCTATTCAGTAATTTATCGTTTATGAACGACATCGTTAAGCTAACGACAGTTCAACCAACGACTTTTATAACGATAATTTTTGAAACTCTATTCAATAACAAAGTCGTTACGATGTTTCTAGTTACCAAATCTGAACGATGATTTCTAGTAAGTTGGTATTATAATTTAGTGTTTTATGATAAAAGAACGTATGTTGATGATTATACCGGGTGTTTAAATTAAAGTTTTACAGTTAAATATCGCCAAAAATATGCATTTTATAAAAAAAAGTATCAGACAAAAGTTTTATAGTTTTTTAGGGGAAACATTTTGGCTAAATTAATTTTTTTATAGCTGACCATATGGCCATATCGAAGTGGATTTTTTTTCAAATTGGAACCCTATTTTTTTCTTAGAGTTCATAAAAAAATAAGAAACTTCTAAAGGAAACATTTTTTTATTGGATTTCTACTTATTGAGTAACACCTACTTGAACACCCGGTATATTTGACATTTTTTTGGAACGTAAAATAAAAATTCAACCAGTAGATATATTCATTTGTTTTTCAGAATATATTAATTATTGTTCTTAACCTACAACACGATCAGGGGGTCGATTCTCGATTCGTAGGAATTCTGTTTCACGCGGGCCATTTTTGCTGGTCGTATTGTATGTAGGGTTTATTTATTGAGTATGGATATATTAAAAAAAACTGAGAACTATTCCAAAAGAATACAAAAATACAACTCGAGAACAGTACAAGTTGTATTTATTGGATTTGAAAGACAAACCAAATTTATCAATTTATCAATCCTTTTTCCTGATTATCTTTTCTGTTGATGTCATCGGCTTCGACAACTCATGCCATTAGCCTCGTTTTCTGTGTAGGTTACGGAGAAGTATTATTTAGGTATAATAGGTACTTCCATAATATAGGTTTTGTTACTGTTTCGCAGTGCTACTTTAGGAACAGCACTGTTAATAAGAATCCAATAGTAAATGGTCGAATGGGCAATCCTAACTTTGAATCAGATTTATTTTTAAAATAATTAAATAAATTAGAAACAAATTCCTTACAAATTGTACTTGCTGTATCAGGTAGATGGCAATTTAGTTGTAAAATTTGTAAAAAAAAGTGCTTTTATTATTTAGAACACATCCTGATTCACAATGAAAAATGAGAGGGAATGCAAAAATCACTATAACGACACTTCATATTATTAACGACAGCTCTGTGGCTATCGTTGATGAACGACAATTTTACAACCATATTTGTCTATTTTCAACGACAATCGTTGTCTACTGAATAAGAAAAGTCGTCTGTGAACGATTATCGTCTATTAACGACGTCGTTCAGAGTTACTGAATAGGCCCCTTAATCAACTGTTGCGTCGGCTGAACGCGCACAATGATTATCAAGAAATCACCTGTTGTTTATAGTTTATGCAGTGTTTACCCAAAAGAAAAGCGAAAAATAAGTGTAAACAAAGAACATTTATTTATTAAAAAAAAACGCAACTGGCAAAATTCTGACGAAATACAAGGAACAATTAGATATTAAAGTATATCTGTGATTATAAATTATTCATTAAGCATGGAAATTTGAGGTTATATCAGTTAAGTTTATTTTTAATTTATTTGTACCTAACAACCATAGATTACTAATGTGAATAGATGGGAAACTCAATGGTAAAATTCTGAGTCGATGTGCTGTCATCTATCAAATTGGAGTGGTACTAAAATTCAATATGGCCGCTACGAGCAGGCTTTTTGAAATTTGTACTTTTTTGAAGAAAACTGTTTCCTGTGGTTTTTTTAACGGCTCGTCCACATACTTTGATTACTATACGGGGCAAGAGAGAGGTCCGACACGCCCAACATAGGGCGCGGCCATTTTGAACCCTATGACACAGTTTATAGCTAAAGAATCAGATCGCTCACTCTGCGTCGGCACTTTTTATCTCAATGTTCCAGTTTGTTTTAATCTGACAGGTTAAAACGACTAAACCGACAATTCCGGAAGCAGAAGCGGATGATTAAAACGCACCTGATATTTTGCTTGCTGCTGTCAGTGTCAGTGAATATTATTTTTGAAGTCACAGTTTATTGCTAAAGAATCAGTTAGCTCACTCGGACCAGTTGAAAGTTCCAAAATAACATCCACTCCAGGGATACAAATTCAGGATACGCAGAAGACTGCTGTTTTATTATAGGCGGTTGTCATATATTGTATTATCCGAGTTGGACAGTGTATAAACTGAAACATTGAGATCAAAAGTGCCGACGCAGAGTGAGCGATCTGATTCTTTAGCTGTAAACTGTGTCACAGGGTTCAAAATGGCCGCGCCCTATGTTGGGCGTGTCGGACCTCTCTCTTGCCTCGTATAGTAATTAAAGTATGTGACTGACACTGACAGCAGCAAGCAAAATATCAGGTGCGTTTTAATCATCCGCTTCTGCTTCCGGAATTGTCGGTTCAGTCGTTCTAACCTGTTAGATTAAAACAAGAAAACCGACAATTCCGAAGCAGAAGCGGATGATTAAAACGCACCTATTAAAAATATTGCGCCAAGATGTAGGCAACACGTAATAAGGGTTCAAAATGGCGGAGTTTTCTATCTCCTTTTAAAAGGCACACAGAAAGCTGCGCAGTGCGACCATTCTCCGTATAGTAAAAGAAAATCAAAGTATGTGGGCCCGTCTGTTACTACCAGTGAAATGAGTTTTATTCGTATATACAATATTCTTAAGGATTTATTTACAAGGTTGCAAATTATTGTTTTATTTGTATCTCACAAACCTGTTAAAAAATTGTAAGTATTACATTATTAGTAAATTTTTTTGTGTTATTTTATTCATAATTATTCTCATGGTGAGAAATTTATTTCGTCTTTTCTCCTGGTCAAACAAATTCATTTAACTAAACATGATGCATATTATATTTATTAATTCTTGTTACTTTGTAGTTTAATATACAAGGTGATTCATAACTTTAATTATTTCTTAATTATACATGATTTTGAGTGAATTTTCATTAACTTCAACTTATAGATTTAATTGAACGTTACAATATAATCATTTACGTGCCAAAATGTATAAATTATTTCTTCAAATTTGCAATTCACTAAAGTATTTACTTAAGTTGGAATTATATGGAAACCTTTTTATTACTCATTTTAGGAAAAACAGTTATTCTTCATAAAAAGTTCTGCATCACCAAAAACGTAAAATAAAATCATCAGATTAAAATTTGATATTGGATGGTTACATTTTATGTTTTAGACCATGCACAACTTTTTAAGAATAATAATTTTTTTTCTAAGGGTCAGTTTTTTCATCTCTGAGCAAAGTTGAAAGTAACTACTTTCTGATTAAACTATAGGGCTATTGTCTGTCAAGTAAACCTATGTAACTTAACTCAGAGGTGAAAATATCGGCTCTAAATGTCATAATAAAACAGTTTTCCATGTGCCACCAACTATGTAAGTTATCGAGGGGTAAAGTTGAGGTTGCAGCAACAATGTTCTCTCCAGGGTGCGCTTCGCACCTTCCCACACGACGTCATAATAACAATGTTTAGTTAATTATTGTTAAATCAAAATGTACTTACTCTGAATAACTACCAAATACTCGTGACACTAAACCACATGTTAGTGCTTCATCTGCATTCATTTTTCTAGCAGTATAACATAATTCTCTAGCCAAACTATCTGAACCGATAACTTTTGGTAATCTTTGTAAAGTGCCTACATCAGCTGCTAATCCTACTTCAACCTAAAAGTTTAAAATTCGTATATTAGTAAAAATCAAAATTACTATTATACATTTAGACTACCAAAGGTCTTTAAAAAAAAATTAAATTTTAATTCCAGAAACTATAGTGGGCCAAAGTTTGAAGGTACGAAAATAGTTATTGTAAAAATGTTTTTCCAAGCAATGTCTAGCATATCTTGTTTTCAAAATTAGAATATATGAATTATACAGGAAAACTACACCGATATCACAAGCACACCGCTTTATTGTGAATGCTCATCAGTGGCCACATATGTTAACAGGAGGAGGGGTAATTAAATCTTATCTTTTGTAAAGTAAAAATGTACAAAAAAGTTTTTTTAATATTCTGGAAATATTAAAAGCTATTTTTTTAATATTATGAAAATATTGAGAATAAGCAAGGGTGTCTCAGAAATGTTTTCGTTTATTAATCCGTCTGCTGGCTGGCGCAATAGGCACATTCCCGAAAAAGGTGACAGTTGGAAAAGTGTTAGTGGCAAGGAGCGATTTACGGTTGCGACTTGCGAGCGCGGAATACCACACATACAGAAACACCTAAACTAAAACAAAACCGTTTCACGTCGATGGAACAGTTTGATTTTTTTCTACTTTTTTTCCAAGGGTATCTGTCGCAGTCGCAAAAACGCAAATTTCAACTTAATAGTTGTTATTAATTATTATTACATAATTTAAATACCTATTATTTTGAATGTTTTTTTTTTTGCTGAAATACAAAATAAACTAAAAATACTATATTAAATGAACAAATAAGTATGTCTCAATACAACCTTATTTTATTTTTGTTTTATTTCAGAAAAATATCAGATTCTATAAAATTCATTATTTATTAAATATCAAGCTGTTCCAATATTACTGCTGGCTAGTCTGTAACTGCTATACTGCAACAGGTAACTGTCACAGTAATTAATTAATGCCAATGCCTAATAACAAGTTGTTCCAGTCCCACGCAATTTTCAATCTGCGACTGTGACAGCAAATAGCAACTTAAAATAAACTGAATCTCCGTCCACCGAAACAACTATTCCGTGAAACTGTTTCGTGGTTCGATGCATACCTGTTCCAGGTGAAAACCTGTTTCAAAAATAACATACTGCTTCAGCGACACAACCCTACAACAACATGCTTTTTGTATTTGTGCGTTTTATAAAAATAATACTTCGTATGTTCTTGTGAGTCGCTTGTACATAAATCACTTAGATAAAAGAATCCAGAGATATAACATACACCGGTGTTTAACTTGCGCAAATGTTGCCAATTTCTAAAGAAAGGTTAACTGGGCAGAGACCCGAACTCTCTGACAGGGACCGGACTTTGTTTATTAGCATCATAATGAACTATTAGATTTATTTAAAAGATGTTTATTGGAATTTTGTTTTATGAAATTAACGTGATTTTTTAATATCAAATAGATGCCACGATATTTTATATAAAGAGAAGACCTTTTATAGAATATTTCGTTAGCGTTTATTTACTACGGACTTTTCTGCAAGAGACTACAGTAAAATGTTGAAATAGAATATTGTTAATAGAGCAAGAAATGGTACTCACTGTCTACGAGTATTATAAAAAAAGCATGTGCGCAGGCGAATACTGCAAATCAAACCTTCTGAGTTATATATATTATATTTTTTCTACAGCTATTACATACTATTAAAAATTAGTCAAAATGAGAAAATGCCGTTTTGTATTGTAACTTCTTTTTTTTAGGAATATTAATTAATATAGAGGATAAGTCACATAAAACTCTAGAAATGCATGTCTGAAAGCAGATAACATTTTAAAATTTTAACCTATTAAAAGTCATTTGGTCGCTAGGGGTGGGTAATTATCGAAATAAATTATCGATCATTGAAAATAATCGATTATTTTCGATCAATCGATTATTTTCAAATAAGTTCTATTTTGTTGCCGCATTTCCTTTAAAATCGACTACTTGATTATCTTTGAAAAATCAAAAATAATCGAATAATTAAAAAGCCAATTAACCGATAAATCAGTGTTTACAAAAAATAATAAAAGAATTATGGTTTATTTTAAATAATCAATTATTTTCAAATAATCCATTTTTTTCGTCCATTGAAATAGATGATATTCGATAATCTTTGAAAAATCGAAAATAATCGATTATTCAAAAATAATCGATTAATTAAAAAGTCGATTAACTGATAAATCGATTAAAAAAACAGAATTATCGATTATTTTCGATCAATCGATTATTATCAATAATCTATTTTTATTGTTTTTCCTTTAAAATCGATAATTCGATTATCACCGAAAATAATCGATTATTCCAAAATAATCGCTTAATTGAAAATAACCAATTAATTAAAAAGCCGATTCTACAATAAATCGATTTTCCAAAAAATAACCGAATTATCGATTATTTTCTAATAATCCTTTTTTCGTATTTTCTTTAAAATTGATTATTCGATTATCTTTGAAAAATCGAAAACAATCGATTATTAAAAAGCTGATTAACCGATAAATCGATAATTCTAAAAAAATAACCGAAATATCGGTTATATAAAATAACCGATTATATTCGATCAATCGATTATTTTCATATAATACCTTTAAAAAGTCGAAAATAGTTGATTAATTAAAAAAACCGAATAAACGATAAATCGATTTTTCAAAAAAAATCGATTTTTTTGAATAAATCTACTTTCTTTTTGTATTTCCTTTAAAATCGATTATTACATTATCTTAAAAAACGAAAATAATTTATTAAAAATAACGGATAAATCGATTTTCATAAAAAATATCAGAATAATCGATAAATCGATTATTTTTGTAACCCCTATCGGTCGCTTGCTTTTATCCAAGCATTTAGCTCCAAAATTTAGAGATTCAGATTTTTTGATCCCGTTATCTTTGAAACCAAATTCGATTGTATAATAAATAATAAATATTGCCTAAATTTGGATTTTTTTAGTAAACGAAAATTTTGTTCGAGTTGTTTAGGGGTTTATAATGTAACATTTTATTAACAATGTGACTAACTCCCGTAACTTTAGTATTTTTTTTATATTGTGCTTTTTACTTTGTTTTAAGACTGAAGATTTAAATGTTACTTTCGATTTGACCGCAAATAAGATGAACCTTGAAATTTTAAGTAGGTCATCCCGTATTTCATCTAATATTCTTATAAAAATAAAATTTAACTGGCAACTATGCTTCTTTACTTCTTATTTATCTATCAAAACGGGCTAAAAACAACCTTTAGTAAACATTCTTATAAAACTTCTTTTTAAATACAAAATTTCGTTAGCAACAATGCCTATTTACTTCTTATTTATATTAAATGTTCAAAATTTTACCCTTTTGTAAATTTATGTAAGTAATATGAAATCTGATTTCTGAAATATGTTTTTAATGCTTAATATTTATGGAAACCCCTTAATACGGATCTGAAGTATTCATCCCAAAGGATCATGGCGCTTTATATCAAAACGTTAATAAATATTTACCGCTGAAAACGAATATATTTTTTATCTTTCATAACATTAGTACTTGTATTATAAGTACATACAAATTTTCAAGATACATCGTGGCATTTTGAACTTGAAATTAAATAACTAGAACACTTTAAATTGCTAAAATACCAACAAATAAATCAAAAAACAGCTGTCAATAGTGGTTGAATTCAGGCGGAGGTGAGCGTTGAATGGAAAAATCGGAGCAATTCGGGTGGCGTCGTGCAAACAATGATTTTCAATTGGTGGGCTACTTTGGGTTAAAATAGACAACATGCGCAGTGTGCAATGTTACATCTTCGGTCTCTTTAATCTAAGATAAATCATTATAAGCAAGATTGAAAGATGTTCCAAGTGCAAATTTAATTAAGAAAGTTTGAGAGTACTGAACATTAAATTTTCACTTGGGTTATCTTTCATTCTTGCTACGATATGATTTCTATACAAAAGAGGCACACAAATACAAAAAGCCCGTTGTAGCACCATAAATCGCTTCAGTGCAACTAAAACTAAATATTATAAATCACCGTTTGTCAACTGCCTTCTTTCTCGGGATTGTGCCTATTGCGCCAGCTGACAGATTAATAAACGAAACTATTTTTATATCAATTTTTAATGCCAGTTCTTGCAATAGGGGACTAAGACTAAGTAAAATTAGACTAACTTCTTTGACTTGAAACCAAGCATCTTTTGTGCAATACCTAATATCAGCAGCTGTAATTAGATCTACACCACCACCAATGCATGCTGAATGAATTGCTGCTAATATTGGTTTTTTACATAATTCCAGAGATGTCATAGAAGACTGATATGTTTCTATAATTTTGTGAAATACTTTGGCTTTTCTTGCAACATCATCCTTTTCTGCAACTTTTTGTGCTGTAACTATGAAGTCTGACAAATCTATGCCTAAAATAATGTTTCATTATTGTTTTTAACTTTGAACTTATTTTTGTAAAACTGCAGTAGGGCAACTACAGGGCTTCAGAATTCAAACAGTTGATCTTTAGCGTAACAAAATGTGAAATTGGAGAAATGGCGGAATTTGTATCATCGGGTGAGTTGATAGATGATTTACTTCATAGTTGACAGGAAGCATGACAGATTACGTGATAGGCGACATGCGCAGTAGTATCGCTAAAAAGTAAATGGGCAATCTTAGGTATTTTAAACATAATGACTGCCATAGTTCTCACGTTTACCGTTTAATTTGATATATCACTCGCGTAAAAAATATGGCATATATTTTTATGCTTTTGGATACTCTGCGACACTCTAATTTCGAATGAATTTTGTGTTTGCTTTAATACTTTTCTTAGCATTACGACCTGTTTTAGATAAGACAAAAAGAAACTTAATAGCTAGTCGCTAAGATCTTAATAAACAAAGGCTAATCTTATGTAGAAAGACGAATAAAAATATTTATAATTTCTTCCCCTCGTCTTTTTTTACCCCTTTATTGCTTCCCTGGGAAATATATATTTTTAAATTTTCACTTAGTTTACTTTAATGTAATACCCCACAAGCCAAGCCATTAAAATATGTCCAACTAGATCATAAATGGAACCTGCCTAACAAATTTCGTTTTTGTGTAACTAACTTTTTAGTCACACAAAGGTGGCAAGTAAATAACTTTATGATACACCGAGGAAAACATTGTAAAAATAGGTTTTGAAAAATAGTATTCTGTATTCCTTAAATTAAAATAATATCTAAATGAATTTTTACATATTATAAATCAACTTCTAACACGCTGGCACATCACAAAGCGATACGGAAAGTGTGAAGTATGAGGATTTACAAGGATTTATTTCTAGTACAAGGGTGCGTATGCTTCAAAATCGTGCAGATGCTATCATATCTTACCCAAATTTATATGGGACCCCTGAGGTACACCCTTACGTAAAGGTAGTAGAAAGTTTGGGAGAGAAAATTCTCCAATTTTGGTGAATTCGATTTCAAGAATACCAATTTTTACAAGGGAGTAGAAAGTGAAAATTTTCTCAATAGTTCTCTCTCCCCAATTTCAAGAATAGGCACCAAGGACACCAGAACACTTATTTTTGTTGAATGTATTTGTTGAAATCCTTCAACATTTTGCACAAGCCATTTGTTTTGTTTCGCCTAGAGCCGTCTCTGGCCTTTTTCGATTGGTCCGAAATCGACAAGGTGATTATGTCACCCTTTCGTTCCACGATACAGCTAACCTTCAAAAAGCAATAGATGATAATAAGTTATACTCGAATCGCCGTGGTGAATTATTGATTGCTCAAGCCTTAACAAGTGATTGGTCAAGCTGTAACGATCGAAGATGCAGACGCTCGTCTCCATATTGTGTTCGCGCTAAAATGACCAGAAGCACTTCTTGTATCACCGAAACACCAACGTTTCGCATTGCTTAAAAAAACCCAAGCCATACCGGCAGAGGGATGCCTGAAAGGGTGAAATAAAAGCTCTGAAAAAAAAGTGCAAGACATTAGTAATGCCAAAAAAAGAAAGATTTATTGAAATTTTGTAAATCAGGTGCTACACCTGATGATTTTCATCATTATTATTACAATTTACCTGTATTCAATAACGGTACCTGAACCTTCCATAGAAGATAGTGACACAGACATTAAATATTATGACCTGTATGTAGACGGCTAAAATAAGCAAAGTGACGCTTTTTCTCTTTTTTTTTTAACAGACCTCAAAAAAAATTAGAGTGGTTCTAAATTAAATATGGCCGCTAGGGGAAATTTAACTTTCTGCTAGTTGGGCAAAAATGTAATAAAGAAAATCAAATAAAAAAATTGTTTATTTTGACTAAAGAGGTTAGAAAGGGTAGAGGTAACATAGAAAGCATTTGCCGCTGCGCGAATTTTATTTTTTGACTTCAGTTAGCAAAATTAGTTTAATTATTGTAACAAAATAGCTATTTGTGCATTAAAAGCAGAAAATAGCACTTTGGCAGTTGAGACAGAAAAAAAGAAATAAATCTCTCAAAACTGCTAAAGGATTTTCTGCTCGAATTACACACAAAAATTTTTCTACGACCACACCAAAATAAAATAAATAATTTTATTTTATTAGAAATAGGTTACCTCCTTTCGTTATAATATTGTAAGTTTTTTTGACATAAGCTTACTCTTAGAAGGGAAAAAATGTTTTTGTACTTATATATCGGTAATTATTTGATTTAATTATTTACGGAAAATACTGTGGATGATTTAAAATATTAGAAAGTCAATTTAAGATTAGCCTACATTTTGTTTTAAATTACCGATTAGCTTTCTTTTATGTAATTCAAATGAAAACAGACAATCGTGTGCCTGCAGCGTGGGGGTATCTTTCGCTGTATGGTCACGGTGATATTATTCGTTTCCTGCGCGAAATAATGCTCTATGTAGTTTTCACTTCGACATTAGCAAAGTACTTATCTGGAGTATGAGTACTTATATGAATAATACTCAAAGTGTTCAATAGCCGACACTATATGGTAAATAACTTTTTTGCTAGCTTCTATAATAACGGAGATATCATCCGCTACCACTTTAAAAACGAATTCTGTATAATCAAGTAAAAATAACAATGAGAGATATTGCAAGTTCACTTAAGCTCAATCACTATTAGCTCCGCTCTTATTTTGACATGAGCATGCGCAGATCGTTTATGTTCTAGAACTGACTTTATTAAAGATTGTGCCTATCCTTAATTGTGGATGTTTAAGGGCAGCAGATAGTGGCGACTTTATATATTTCACGTGCGCTCGCCGACATTCTTATCAATTCGAAGTTTTTTAGTATTAAATATTTAATATCATCGACATCTAAACCTTCTAAAATGATAGTTTCTAATTCCTCTTTAATATTATGTACTATTATAGACAACAAGAGGAACTGTAATTTAAATTTTTTAAAATGAGGTTAGAAATATGTATAAGGACAAGGACTCTAATGTCAAAATTTCAAGTTTGCAATAAGTTTTATTTTAGCATGGAATTTATTTGCCTTTAATTGCGTTGTCACTATAGTGGCTGACGTCATAGAAATTTGCAATATCTCTCTAATAAAAGAGAATTTACTTTATTGATCTTTAAATAATATTAATTTATTATACATCGATCTCATGTTCTTGCTTTTGTCAAATATTTTTTTTTTATTGTATAATGAATCCTGAACTGTCATATTCGCTCCGTGCGCGACAGCAGCGCCAATTCGTTTTGGTGCTAATGGACTATGTCTGCGTATACTGACAAATACAATTTTTAATAGAATTCGTAATTAAAAAGTATATATGTTAGTTTTAATAAAAATATATGGATTTGTAAAACAAGTAAAACATTAATTTATTATTATTATATATTTATATCGCTTAAATTAAAGAAAATTATTTATAATCAATCAATAAAAATCAATAATAAAATATAGGCAGGCAACAGTATTTACTAGAAAATGTATGAGAAGTTGCCTAAGTCTAATAAGTTGACATTGAAGAATTAGCCTATTCTGTCAAAATAAAAAATACCATTTAATAATAGCGTGAAGTTAAAATGTATAAAAAAGGATCGTTATTTATATTTTCATTTTTGTTCGAAAGAAAACATAGAATGAATGATTAAAACTGGTTTCCCATCAGTAAGTCACAAAATTGCATTCCAGCCACATATAATAATCAAAGGCAGAAATCTTGAAATCTAGTCCTTGCTGAATGAACATTTAAGAATAAAGGGATATTAAAGAACATCGTAAAATGATAATTTAATGTTTATTTAAAACCTTTCAAGTTTCTGATGTCTACTATTTCCAGCATTAGTGTTATTATTACAAAAAGAATGGTAATTTTTCTTCTTATTGTACACCTATCCATTTATTTCTTTGATTTAATTTCCACTTTGCTACTGTTTTGCTGTCTTTTTTGCTAGTATTTGTACAATTTTCAACACAGTAACTCCGGTTGCTTTTTGTATTGTTTTTACCTACTTTTTTGAAAAAAATAAAATGTATACGTTTATTTGATATGCCAAAATTACAAAATATCGCCCTAAAATGCACGAATTATCCGCAGCTGGCGCTAGTATCGCTTTTGCTTCCCTTTCCATGACTTCGCACTGAGCGAATAGATGGATGCTACTAACTTAATTAAATTACCATAGTGGCAGCTTAAGGCGTAATGGTCTATAACTGATTATCCAGTTTAGAGAATATATTTCTATTCACGTTACAACGCGGTCGGGCCGTATAAACAACATAACAAAACATAATTGAATGAAACAAGATCTTAAATAAGTGCATAATTCAAAAGTTAAGAAATATAAACTTTATCGTATTCAACCAAAATAAAAAAATTATGCTACGCATTAAATTTCGAATAAAATTAGCTTTCAAATGAAGTGCCACACTTTACAATACGTAACAGTTTTGTATCCCGCTAGCGAGCGTTAAATCAAAAGTAATGCAATAAATATTGCCGAATTCTTCTTAAAATTATCTTTTGAATGACGTGTCATCCTTGGTACTTTCTCTATTTAAATTACATTGGTTAGTAACGTATGACAGTTAATATGATAAAAATATGTCCTCCTTCAAACTAAAATCGATATGTCCAGCGTTTTTTTAATATCCACGATATTAATACACAAAACCCCCATGTCAAGTTTTCGTTGGGTGATCTTGTATAAAGAGAGTATTTACATTAAAGAAAATTAACTTATAAATAATATTTGAAATAGGATAATTTCCTGACCGTAATAAAATTTTATATTAATAAAAAGTTCACTGGTTTATTCGGTCGGTTTTATTATTTTTATAAAATTTAAGTACAGGCACTACTTGTGTTTCTGAAACACAGTTCCATCTTCTGGTGTCAGTCAATATTTAATAAAATATGAGGACGATTACAAATATTTTAAAATAACAGAGACCCCGTCTTTTTGTTTTACATCGTGTGAACGTGTATTCGGAATCATTCCAAAAAGGGAACAAAAGGCCTAAAGAGGTGGACAACTATAGTCTATTATGATGGTGGGTGGGATTTTCCGGGTTTTCCTCACCTGTAAGTCAAATGGTACCATCAATCATCTTTAAGTCGCCCCGGAGCGCCACGGCAAATAATAATAATAGGCGTCTCTTTCCCCGGACAAGCTCAGCTTTTGGGGTTAAAATTCACTCGTAAGGGGTGAATTAGGAAGAGTATTATTATTATTAATTATATTATTATTATATTATATTATTATTATATTATATTATATTATATTATATTATTATTATATTATTATCATATCGCTTTTATCTGGCATATCTAAAATCATAGACAGAATATTACTAGCACGACTGCGTAACATTGACAAACATATCAAGCCGATGGAACAGTACGGTTTCAGGGAGGACCACAGTACTGTTGTACAAATCCTTAATATAGCATATTACGCCAAAAAGACCTTTAATGATCACAAACAAACAGTACTAGTGGCTCTTGACAAGGCGTTTGACACCGCCTAGACCAACGGGCTGATAAACCAAATGATTGTTAATAACTATTTTTTTTTTCATTATAAAAATAATGCAGTCGTATCTACAGAACAGAACTTTTCATATAACATTAGGAGATGATCTTACACAGCGGAAGCTGGAGTACAGCAGGATTCAGTACTATCACCCTATTTGTACAACATCATGACCCATGACATGCCCATGAGGCGTAATAACATTTACTCAACACACTCACCGCTCTTTGCATAAAAACAGTCTAAGAATACCACCTGGTAAGGAGTCGACTCGTTATACACAAATACCAAACATCTGAAGTCACAGAAAAGGCAGAACATCCGCCCCAGGCCCACTTGGAACCATAAGAGAGGCAGTAAAGAAGATCTCTTTACTATAATAATTTTTATAATGTAGATTTAAATATGTATATAGATAAAAGTTTAATAAAATGTACTTACAAACAAGGACAACACTGTTTTTTCAACTGTTTTTTTAGGGAAGACAGACAATTAAAATCTGACAAAAATGTCAATTATCGATCTAGTTAGCAGGCTAAATAGACTTACATTGTTGAATTAACAAGGAGTAGTCACGTAAATATCAATATTGGGAATAATAACTATTGGAAATCACGGCCAAGATATCGATAATGGCCTCGTCTGTTATAGCTTTAAAAAATACCGTATTGTAAATAAAGATTTTTGAAAAGAAAGAAAGGACGTTCACCGGGTTTCAAAATTACTGGCAAACCATGTCGAGAGAAACGCTGTAGGATGTGATCGTTCACTTCTCTAGGAACGCTCACATCGTCCAAGTTCGAGAATAGACGGCCAGTTTGTTATATCCTAGAAGGCCAGCTCTAATGTCACCTGTCAACGTTAACTGTAAGGTACGTTATCTGCCAACTAATACAGTGATACCCTTTCCCTCATGCTCCCCCAATTCCCTCATGCTCCTCCAATTCCCTCATTATGTTATCGTAGGTCAACCATCTGTCATGTCACCTGTCAGTTGAACTTTTCGGATGTCCCTCACACATACCTACATGATGACAGTTGCACAAAGGCCCTGTAGGTGCCCTACTAACCGGTTTATAAATTTTCACCTGCAGTAAACATTTTTCCTTCTCCAGATATTATAACAGCTCTGCAATTTTCATCTTCATTTATCTCATCAAAACATTGTTTAATTTCCCTGAAAAATATTAATTTTAAAATAAAAGTATTGTAATAAAAACAACAAAATATAAAGAGGATAATTTCTTGACCGTGGTAGAATTTTTTATAAATAAATAAAGTTCTTCAGTTAGGTATATCGATCACTAAATTTTTTTTATTTAAAATCACAATATATGTTTCGGAAAATAATATTTTCCATCGGTGCGCTCACAAATATATATTTTTTAAAAACATCGAGGGCATAACAGTTAAATTATTTCGAATACACCTACACGATGCGAGACAAAAAGATGTGAATTCGTTTGTAAAAATGTTTATCCGTTTATGTCCCTCGATGTTTAAAACAAATTGTTACTAAGAAGAAAGTCATTCTTGGTCCGGTTTCGTCCTTATTAGGACTCATCAGCAAGAATTAGACAATCTTAAAGGTAGTGTTGAAAATAATTTCTCTCTGCTTTTTCTTTTGATGTAATTCAGTACCTACCTTAGCCAATTGTTGTTTTCAAGAAAAAAACGACCGTTCGTATTTTTGTGACACATAACTTTGAGTTTTATTTGACTTTATTTTACATCTTGGTCACATTTGAATTTGGAATTATTTCCATTTTTAGATATCTAATAGTTCTAGGGCCAATGTGCAGATTTTAAATTATTTTCTTTTGGCTGAATTTATTGGAGTTATTGCAAGTTCACTTATGGTCAGTCACTATTGGCGCCGCTCTTATTTTGACAGCGCAAATATTTTACGTTCTAGAACTGACTTTATTAAAGATTGAGCATGTCCTTAATTGTGGATGTTTAAGGGCAGGAGAGGTCAAAACTTCAGGTCTTATTTTACCATGGAATTTATTTGCCTCTAATTACGTCATTATTAATGGCGGACGTTATAGAAATTTGCAGTATCTCTCTATTATTAAAGCGTACTACGATATGTGTCCAACGATTTATACTATGTGTCCAACGAAATAATCAAGGGTTTTTGAGGTCGCTGGAAACGAATTTGTTATCTAATTTTACTGTAATAATATTATTATTATTATTAAAATTATTATTAAAATTATTATTAAAATTATTATTAAAATTATTATTAAAATTATTATTAAAATTATTATTAAAATTATTATTAAAATTATTATTATTAAAGTTACTATTAAAATTAAAATTATTATTACAATTATTATTAAAATTAAAATTATTATTAAAATAATTATTAAAATAATTATTAAAATAATTATTAAAATAATTATTAAAATAATTATTAAAATAATTATTAAAATTATTATTAAAATTATTATTAAAATTATTATTAAAATTATTATTAATATTAAAATTATTATTAAAATTATTATTAAAATTATTAAAATTATTATTAAAATTATTATTAAAATTATTATTAATATTAAAATTATTATTAAAATTATTATTAAAATTATTATCATCATTATCATCATTATCATTTATATATTATTATATTATATTATATTATACTATTATTATTATTATTATAATTATTATTTTATCATTGTAATATTCAATATGCTGGTTCATAAATGCTAAGTTTGGCCATCTTGTATTTTTTTTTTTTTTTTTTAATTAATTTTGTGTCATTTTGTTGACAGTGTCATATTAAATATTAGGCATTAGGCATTCCAAACTGAATGGCTACCAGTGGGTTTTGACGGGTTATGATATTGCAAAATTATGGCAACCCTGTAGGCCTGGTGATTTGACAAGGTCAATGAAATAGATAGTTACATAGATTGATTATCCATATTTTTCAAAATAAACATAAGCGTATGCTTTGAAGTAAAAATGTGAGCAATTATTTTTTTTTAAATATCTAAAGGCTAAAAATTGGTTTTAAAACACATTTTTGCTAAACCGATTCAAATTAATAAATATTTGCCAGGCAATATGGCCGCTCGTAAACGACCAGCTTTGAGCAATCTATATAACTATATACAGTATGGTTCAAATGAAAGGAATAAATTCATTATAATGGAAGTAGTTGGTTTTTCGAAAAAATGCTCGGACAGGTCAATTTTGTTTACTCAAAGCGCAATTTTTTAAGTAGAATTCAATTTTCCCGCACTTCCCATTTTTGGGTAGTGACGTCATTGACAATTTTTTTAAATAGTAACCCCAATTTTTTTTTCTTGATTTTGTTAGATCTTGCAATTTCCTACTCGGAAACATAATATTTGAAATATCTTACATAACAATTTTTTTGAATAAAAGTCATTTAAAGATCAGACACATAAATTTTATTTTATTTTGAGAACACAATAAATGAATAAAAGATAATTATTTGTAATTGAGTGCTTAATTAAACAAAATAATAATATTATTATTATTATTATTAATAATAATAATAATAAAAAAGAATTTGTGAAATTGTCATTAAATTCTTTTTATTATTATTATTATTATTTTTTTAGATGAAGCACTTAATTACAAATAATCTTTTATTTATTTAATGTGTTTCAAAATAAAATAAAATTTATGTATCTGATCTTTAAATGACTTTTATTCAAAAAAAATTGTTATGTCAGATATTTCAAATATTATATTTCCGAGAAGAAAATTGCAAGATCTATCAAAATCATGAAAAAAAAATTGGGGTTACTATTTAAAAAAATTGTCAATGACGTCACTGCCCAAAAATGAGAAGTGGGGGAAAATTAAATTCTATTTCAAAAATTGCGCTTTGAGTAAACAAAATTGACCTGTCCGAGCATTTTTTCGAAAAACCAACTACTTCCATTATAATGAATTTATTCCTTTCATTTGAACCATACTGTATGTATCATTGACCCTGTTAATGACAACAGGGTTGCCATATCTAAACTGTCATTACCCACTGGTAGCCATTTGGACAGGTCGTTAGAATGCCTAATTCCAACGACTTGTCAAAATGCTGCAAATGGGAACTGACAGTATAGCAACCCCGAGGGCCTATCATTCTATTCTATTCTTTATTAATCCATTTAAACAGTTATAATGTTATTGGACACGTCAGAATTATAAATATAAAGGTGTATACAATAAATAAAAGTAATTAAACAAAACAATACAGACAAATATAGAAGAGACAAACGTAGAATGGTAGGCGAAAAGGGGCATTTGTATAAATTTATCTAGAACAGTTTGGTGGTGAAGCATGTGGTACAAATTTATATTGAAAATATTCTTGCACTGAATATGGACATATTTCTAAAAGCTGTTGTTTTATTCGATAATTAAATGTTTTTAATGTTGATTCATTTTTTATGCTCTGTGGCAGTTTATTGAATAATTTTATTCCAAGAATTGTTGGTGACTTAGCACAAATATTTAGCTGTGCTAACAGAGGAACAAGTTCATCTTTGTTCCTGGTGCTATATGAATGAAAGTCGCTATTACGTTTAAAATTCGATTTGTTTTTATATATGTATATTAAAAGTTCTAAAATATATACTCCGAATACGGTAAGGATTTTAAGTTTTTTAAATAGAGGGCGACAGGAATCTGTTGGTAGAATACCAGCCAAGCATCTTATAATTCTCTTCTGAGATATAAATACTTCATTAGCATGGGACGATCCGCCCCATACACAGATACCATAAATCAACCTAGAATGTACATTTGCGAAGTAAATTTGACGAAGATGGTGAGGTTTTAAAATGCATTTAAGGTTACGAAGTTGAAAACATTGTGAGTTTAAGGTTGTCGCTAAATTTTGACAGTGAGTTTTAAACGATAGATTTTCATCGAATGTTATTCCTAGAAATTTTGTGGAATCAACTGTATTTATGTGTGTGTTGTTTACAGACATATCTAGACAAGGTATATTAGAATTTTGGTATGTATGGAAATAAATGTAGTTAGTTTTTGTAATATTAAATAATAATGAGAGATTACTAGCCCATTCCGAGAATATTTTAATTGACCTATCGATTTTATTTTTCAATTGTTCTTCAATGGGATCAGAAAACAAGAAAGTCGAATCATCTGCATAGAGAATTGTGAATGCATGGTAAAGTAATTCTGGAAGTTCATTTACATAGATTGTGAAAAGTATGGGAGCTAACACTGACCCTTGGGGCACTCCTATATTATTTATTATTTCTTGAGAGAAACACTGTTTTCCTGAGTTGTTACTTTTAACCATTTGGGGTCTATTTGTAAGATATGTTTCAAACCATTTATTTTGATTGCCTCTAATTCCAGATGAGTGAAGTTTATTTAATAAAACATCATGCTGAACACAGTCAAAGGCTCTGCTAAGATCACAGAAAATCCCAGCCGAACCCCCACTACACTCAATAGATTGAAGCACTTTTTCGTATAAGGAGATAATGGCTGTATTTGTAGAGTATTTAGGACGGAATCCGTGTTGAGATTCAGATATAATCTGATTTAAGTTAAGGTATTTCATTAGTTGCTCCAGCATTATGTATTCGAATATTTTTGAAAGAGTAGAAGTCATTGAGATAGGTCGATAATTAGACATATCGTGCGGGTTACCTCTTTTTAATATAGGCGTTACTATAGATGTTTTTAATCTTTCGGGAAAAATACCTTCTTCCAGGGAATAATTAATTATATGAGTTAGTGGTGTTAAAATATATTCTGCGATTTTCTTTATCAAGTTTCCAGAGATATCGTCAAAACCGCTGGATGGTTTGTTTTTGATTTTTTGTTTTATGACTGTGTTTACATCTGATTCAGAGACATAAGAAGTAAAAAAGCTCTTTGTGGGTGACTTATTGTTATTATATTTATGATTTGTTTTTGGAGTTGAGATTCTGTTAATTGTTTCATATGGAATCGAAGTAAAAAACTGATTGAACATATCAGCTATAGTTGTTGGGTTTTCAATAATTTTGCCATCGTTGTGAATTGAAATACTCTTTGTTGTCTTTGTCTTACCTTGTAGTTCATTTATGACTTTCCATGTTGCTATATTTTTATTTGCCGAATCCTTAATTTTATTATTATAATATTCGGATTTCGTGTTTTGAACAAGCTTTCTATGATTTTTTTTATTTTAGCATGATGATAACATTCATGCAACTCGGGGAATTTTTTCTTCAATTGAAATAGATCTTTTAATTTATTAGAGGACTCTTTTATGTACTTATTTACCCAACAGCGAGGTGGTAATCTAGAAGCATTTATTTGTCTTAAAGGGCAACTAGCGTTAAAATAGTATGTTAAAGTATTGTGAAACACATTGAATTTTGAGTTGGTAGTATTTTCTTGATATATCCCATTCCAGTTTTCTTTGGAAAGGTATGTTATTAGGTCGTTAATGTTAGTCTCTCCCATTAATCGACTTTGATATGAGCTAGGATTGGTTTTTAGTTTTAGCTTATTGAATTTTAACAGGAAATTGTCATGATCTGAGTCTGTATTTAAAGTTACGATTCCTACAGTATCTTTGTAATTTGTGTAAATCTGATCAAGTACATTACTACATGTTTTGGTAGTTCGAGTAGGAGTAAAATTTTTTGGGATGAGCCCATATGATGTGACTAACTGTTCAAAGGCAAAGCTTTGATTTGAGTTCA